AAATGAAGACATTATGTAAAGGAAAGTGTATAGTGGTTGGAGATTAACGTATGGTGTACGAGACTGGACGCTGGACACTTTAAGTAGTGCCAATTTTAAAACTGATGGGTCAAAAAAGATCTTAATGGAGTGGATGTGGAATGAAGATATAGTTGATGTGTGGAGGGAAGAGAATCCACATAAGAGGGAGTTTTCGAGAAGACAAATGGTGATGGGTAACTTGAAACAGAGTCGAATAGATTTATGATTGATGAGAAGAGAAATGTTAAAATATGTGAAATATAGTTTTGTTGGTTTAAGTGATCATGCGGTGATGGCAGTTAAGATGGGTGTAGCAGGAGAGAGGAGGGGAGGGGGAGTGTGGTGTTTAAATTAAAAATTGTTAAATGAAGAGGCTTATAGGGAAAGTATTGTAAAATGTATAAAGTATGAAATGCAGAATCCAGTATATGAGGGAAATGTATGTGAGTGGTGGGAGGAAATGAAGGGGGAAAAAAAAAGAAGTATTAGATACTCAAAACAGAGATTTTATGAGGAGGAGTAAAGTAGAAGCATTGGAAAATGCATTAAAAGAAGAAGCGAAAAAAATAGAAAATAATCCTGAGTATGGTGAAGAGGGCTTTATGAGGTTAAAAACAGAATTAGAAGAGTATGAAAAGGAAAAAAGTAGGGGAATAATAATAAGAAGTAGAGCTCAGTATGCTTTGGAGGGAGAGAGAAGTACAAAGTTTTTCCTCAATTTAGAAAAGGGAAAGCAGATGAGAAAGCATATTGTAGAGTTGGAGAACAGAAAAGGGGATAAAATAAATGATTTTGTGGGGATAATAGAAGAAGTGGAGAATTTTTATAGGGAGTTATTTAAGAGGGAGGGGGTAGAACAAGAGTGTGTGGATGAAGTCTTGAGTACTGTGAAGGTGAGGCTAGATGAGGAAGAGAAGAATATGTGCGAAGGAGATATAAGTATTGAGGAAATAAAGGAAGCAATAAACCAGACAAAAAAGAATAAAAGCCCTGGCTCGGATGGTTTAACCCATGAATTTTACAAGACCTTTATAGGGACTTTAGCGCCAATACTGCTAAAAGTGTATAAAGGTATGGAGGAGAGAAAGGAAATGCCGACATCTATGGGCTTAGGAATGATAACCATATTATATAAAAATAAAGGGAATCCATTGAATTTGGAAAATTATAGGCCTTTGAGCCTGCTAAATTCAGATTACAAAATTTTAGCAAAAGTGATAGCTAATAGAATTAAACAGGTAGTGGGGAGTATTGTGTCGCCAAGCCAGGCGTATAGCATAGTGGGGAGAGATATTGCGGATACCATATGTACAATAAGGGACGTAGTTGAAAATATGGGAAAAGACGGGAAAGGGGGATTGGTTTTAGCAGTGGATTTGAATAAAGCCTTTGATAGGGTGGAACACAGTTTTATTGAGCAGACAATGGCGAGATATGGGTTTGGAGACAGAATAAGAAAATGGATAAAATTAATATATGACAATGCTAGAAGCTGTGTAAAAATTAATGGGGTACTAACTGACCCCTTTCCATTAGAAAGGTCGGTCAGACAAGGGTGCCCATTATCTGCATTGTTATATTCAATAACAGCGGAACCGCTAGCATCGCTGATAAAAAGCGATAAAGAAATAAGAGGTATTCCAATCCCGTATGGGGGAGTAAGTGTAATCCACCAGTACGCAGATGACACGACTTTTACTATCAAGGATATAGAGAGTGTCAAGAGAATAGAAATGCAGATGGGAATATATGGAAAAGCTTCAGGTGCAAGGATAAATGCTGACAAGTCAGAAATAATGAGTGTAGGAGGGGGGGAGATAGAAGGGTTAGATGTTCCGTTTAAAATAGTGAAAGATCATTTAAAGATATTAGGAGTGAGTATAGGAGTAAATGAGAAGGAGGCTAAGGATGCCACATGGACTGGAGTTTTAAACAAAATCAAGTAAGTATTAAATTTCTGGAGGCAAAGAGAATTAAGATTAAGAGGAAAGGTAGTTGTGGTTAATTCATTAATACTTACTAAATGCAACTATGTGATGGGAGCAATTAGTGTACCAGACTGGGTATTGAACGAAATAAAAGAAGCTACGAATACTTTTGTGTGGGGGGGTAAAGGAATCAAAATTTCAACAAAAACACTGATAGCAGATTATAAGGAGGGAGGTCTGCGGTTGATAGATTTAGAGGTTAAGAGGAAGGCAATAAGAGTTAAAACAATAAAAAAGTATTTATGTGACAAAGCAGAGTATGGGTGGAAGGGATATATGAGAACTTATCTAAATGAAGGGGGAGGATGTGGGGAGGAAGGATTGTTTATGGCCTTTAAAAAACCTATGACTGAAAAAATGCCTGTGTTTTATCGTGAAGT